CATGTATATATATATATGTATATATGTACGTATATATATACACGTATATATATACATAGGGCCTATATACTTTTTAAGTCATGTATCATGCATAGGAAAATTGACGCCTTCAAGGCTCTGGTTATAGAATCAAATCAGCCCTTTCCCAAGGGTCACGAGTCTCCCAGGAGTCGCATGAGTCTCCCAGATATTGGGATGACCTGCCTCACACCTTTAAGCAAGCAAGAATATTCCATAAAATAACCCAATCTCCCCCAAATTCATTATATGATGTTTTACTACTTCATTATTAAATGTCAGTGCACACCAAAATAAAATATAAGAAAGCTCATTTAACCAATCTTACGAAAGAGATTTCTTCTAAGTTGGGACACATGCCTTCCTAAAAATGTTCCACCAATTCCCAAAGGAGAGTATATAAATTATAATTGAACAGACAGTATACAAGGAAGGATATAAAAAATGTTTAAAAACTAAAATAAAATTTTTATACAAAACTTATTTAAAAATAAACTTGGAATAAACTTAAAAAGCAACATTTACTACAGTACTGTATATACAGAGGTCAGTCCATATTCACTGATTTAAAATAAATGTACTGTATTTGAAATACAGCAACTAAAGAAAACAAATTATGACCTGCAAAAATGAGTGTATATAGAACCTGAACGGATCTTTAAGTAGTGTCAATCAAATTTAATTACAGACCAATCAGAATTTGGCCAGGAATATGCGCTTCCTACAAACATAAATTTTGTCCCGCAAATGATTGTGTGAGTACATGATTTGAGGCTTTATGATAATTAGAGATTGTATGCATTGTTTCTTCACATTCATATTGGTTTTTCTTCAGTATTATCACATGTATTTCACTGAATACAGTTTCTCTTCGGTTACGTTATCTTCATATGCATTTTGAAATTTCCCCACTTCTTTCAACATTGTTCAAATACAAATGGCAACTCCTGTGTATGCATCCTCATATGCGTTTCAAAATGTATATTTTCTTTAAAATTTTCTCCACAATGTTCACATAAATATGGGGTTTCTGTATGTGTCATCAAATGTGTTACCAAATTGTCATTGTGTTTAAACCTCTCTCCACAATCTTGACACCCATATGGAAATTCTTCAGAATGTATTATCATATGTGATTTTAAAGTACTCCTTTCTTTAAACTTCTGTCCACATAGTTCACATCCATATATTCTTTCTCTTTCATGTATTATCAAATGTTTTTTAAAGGTGCGACTGTCTTTAAACTTCTTTCCACAATGTTCACATTCACATGTTTTATGTACACTCAAATGTGTCTTCAAGGTGCTAATATCTTTAAATTTCTCTCCGCAATGTTCACATGAATATGGTATGTTTAAATGTGCTCTCAAATCGTCACTGGTTTTAAATTTCTTTCCACAGTCCCCACATTCAAATGGCGTCTCTCCTGTATGTACTTCCATGTAAGATTGAAAATCTTGACCGGGTTTAAACTTCATCATTAAATGTCTTTTCAAAGTGTGGCTATATTTAAACCTCTTTCCACAATGTTCGCATTCATAAGGTATCTCTTTTGTATGTGATTTTTGTAAATGTTCTTTTAAACTTCCATGATCTTTAAACTTCTTTGCACAAATAATACATTCGTAT